AAATAATAGATGAGATGTTGTCAATTCCAGTAGAGAAAATAATGCTTCTGTAATTAGCCATCCACTCCCAGTCCCTACTCAAGTCCAGATTAATGGTGTTGAATTTGCAAATGAATTTTAGTTCTGCTAAATCTCATTTGGAGACTCTTATTTTGCTGCATGTTTGAACTAAACTTGTCTTATTTAAAAGAGGGAGAAGCAATCCTGCCAAAATATAGGAGCATTTTGGGATTTAAAGCCTTCCTGATTTAAGACACTATTGAATTTTGTGCACTTGTAGCAGAATTAAATACTCAAGTGTACATTTATTAATAAAGATGTGTTACACATTTTTGGATTTGATTGTTCTCTGGTCCTTCTATTCCAAGTAAGTATTTACCGGTGTGAATGTATGGGATTAATTTGCACAAGCACCATTATTCCTCACCCAGCACTATTTCATAGATATTTCAAAGAGCAAATATAAGTCTACTCTGATTAAGACATGAATCTGGAGCAAGGTAAATTCATAAGTATTTGAGAAACGATGAAATTTATAACCGTAAATCTCTCAAAACAGAAAGCTATTGTGAGACGTGGGTGGTGGGAAAGATAGGGAGCAGTGAATTTGCAACATAGAGAAAAGTATCTCAAACAGGACGTGTTGATATTGTTACTAGTACAAATATGCACTACAATGTGCTGCCTTCAGATTAAGAACAACCAGCTGCAAGGACAAACTCTTTCTTCAGGCTTGAATAATAATTCTGAGAAGTATGCATCATGAATAATGCCCCCTTCGCACTTCTATCAAATGGAAAAGGACTATATCAAGAGCAACATCCGTTATATTTTCAGGCCTCAAACTGGGCATTGCAGAGTAGAAGTTTTAAAAAAAAAAAAAAAGCTGTAAAAAGATTCCTTTTAATGTTTTTAATTAGTGCTGTCAAGAGATTAAAAAAATAAATCACAATTAATTGTGCAATTTAAAAAAATTAATCATGATTAATCATGTGATTAATCGCACTATTGAACAATAATAGAATACAATTTATTTAAATATTTTTGGATGTTTTCTACATTTTCAAATATATTGATTTCAATTATAACACAAAATACAAAGTGCACAGTGCTCACTTTATATTTATTTTTGATTAAAAATATTTGCACTATAAAAAAACAAAAGAAATAGTATTTTTCAATTCAACTAATAGAAGTACTGTAGTGCAATCTCTTTATCGTGAAATTTAAACTTGCAAATGTAGAATTATGTGCATAAAAACCTGCATTCAGAAATAAAACAATGCAAAACTTTAGAGCCTACAATTTTAGAGCCACTCAATCCTATTTCTTGTTCAGCCAATTGCTCAGACAAAAAAGTTTGTTTACATTTGCAGGAGATAATGCTGCCCACTTCTTGTGCACAATGTCACTTGAAAGTGAGAACAGGTGTTCTCATGGCACTGTTGTAGCTAGCGTTGCAAGATACTTAAGTGCCCGATGTGGTAAAGATTCATATGTCCCTTCATGCTTCAGTCACCATTCCAGAGGACATGCGTCCATGTTGATGACACGTTCTGCTTGATAACAATCCAAAGCAGTGCAGATTGACGCATGTTCATTTTCATCATCTGAGTCAGATGCCATCAGCAGAAGGTTGATTTTCTCTTTTGGTAGTTCAGGTTCTGTAGTTTCCGCATCGAAGTGTTGCTCTTTTAAGTCTTCTGAAAGCATGCACCATACCTCATGCCTATCAGATTTTGAAAGGCACGTCAGATTCTTAAATCTTGGGTCGAGTGCTTTAGCAATCTTTTGAAATCACACATTGGTACCTTCTTTGCATTTGGTCAAATCTACTGTGAAAGTGTTCTTACAATGAACATGTGCTGAGTCATCATCCGAGACTGCTATAACATGAAATGTATGGCAGAATGCGAGTAAAACAGAGCAGGAGACATACAATTTTCCCCCAAAGAGTTCAGTCACAAATGTAATGTATTATTTTTTAACGAGCATCATCAGAATGGAAGCATGTCCTCTGGAATGGTGGTCGAAGCATGAAGGGGCATGTTGGTCCTGCTTTGAGCAGGGGGTTGGACTAGATGACCTCTTGAGGTCCCTTCCAACTCTGATATTCTGTGATTCTGTGATTCTGTTGTGGAAAATCGACCACATAATTGATTTTGGATCAGATCAGCCTGAGGCTCCTGTATTGATTAATCAAACATGCATGCATGGGGGAGTCAGCCAAGGCAGCCGAACCCCCCCAAATAGACAAAATACAAAAGCTTATATAGGATAAAACCACAAAAAGTACATGTATTTCCTTAAAGTTTAACATCCATATAAGGAATAAAACAAAATAAGTTTTCCTGTTTTTCTTAGTTTTGCCCTTTGTGGTTTCTTGCTCTGTCACCGAGCAGCTATTAATCACAAGCTGTTACAAATGGTTAGTTCTGCTTTTATAGTTTCTTTCTGCCCTTTTTCTACCTTCCCCCCCACCCCTTTCCTGCCTCCAGGCCATACACACAGTTTACTGGACCAAAGTTTAGGCCCCAGACCTTTTTCCCCCCCACAAGCATATGAATGTTTACCATATCTGCCACGTAAATACTTTGCAATACTGGCTACAACAGTGCCATGCAAACTCCTGTTGTCACTTTCAGGTGACATTGTAAGTAAAATGTGGGCAGCCTTATTTCCCGTAAATGTAAACAAACATGTTTGTCTTAGCGATTGGCTGAACAAGAAGTAGGACTGAGTAGAGTTGTAGGCTATAAAGTTTTGCATTGTTTTGTTTTTGAGTGCAGTTATGTAACAAAAAATTTCTATATTTGTAAGTTGCACTTTCACGACAAAGAGATTGCACTACAGTACTTATGTGAGGTGAATTGAAAAATACTGTTTCTTTTATCATTTTACAGTGCAAATATTTGTAATAATAATTGTATAAAGTGAGCACTGTACACTTTGTATTCTCTGTTGTAATTGAAATCAATATATTTGAAAATGTAGAAAAGCATCCAAAATATTTAATAAATTTAAATGGGTATTCTATTGTTTAACAATGCGATTAAAACTGCGATTAATCACAATTAATATTTTTAATCGCAATTCATTTTTTTTAGTTAATTGCATGAGTTAACTGCGAGTAATCAACAGCCCTATTTTAAATTAATAATTGTATTTAATTCAGTGTAGTACCAGTACATTGTGCCTCTGTATAACTGAATTTTAACTTACATTTATTTCAGGTGTCTTCAGTGCTTGACAAAGAACATTTCCAGATATGTTGCAGATATTAAGCCTTTGCCTCCCAACATAAAAGATAAGCTGATAAAATTAATGAGTATGCAAGGGCGGATAACTGATTCAAATATCAGTGAGGTAAGAACCCATTCAAAATTCACTTCTGCCTGTCTCTCCACATTCATGCCAGTTTATTACACAGCAAAATATAAAATAATGAGCTCAACTAAAATTATGTATGCAGATCAAGAAGTGAGCCAAGGACCTCGTACTATGTAAACTTCCCCTCCTTCCTAATGCCGTTTCTTGCTATTTCATGTCATGCCATGCCTAACCTTGATTGAAGGGATTGTGTCTTTTATCTGTCTGTAAAGCTTCATAAATGCCTACAACCCTGCATAAAAATCAAGATGATGAATATGGACACAAGTCAATGAAAAAGTTTTCTAGTTGACTTGTATGTCATCCTGTTTTGGATAAGTTTAATCTGGGGGAATCCTGTTGTTCAGTGTACACACTTGAGTATAAGATCCTGTGCAATTTATGAAGCAATTCAGAAACAGTAGCACTTTGCACTTCATGTTGCTATCAGTTTCTAATTAAGTTGTCTAACTTATATAAATAAGTGTGTAACATGCACATTATTTGCCATTGCAAACTCAATGGCCTAATAGCCAAGCAGCATTTTTTTAAAACTTTTCTGCAGAATATCCCTAGCAGGAGTAGTGGATTGTGTCTGTTTCCTGAGGCTGCTGCACAGAATGCTTCCTTTACAATACAGCAGGATCAGCAGATTGACTCTAAGGCTACGTCTACACTATGGGGGGGATCGATTTCAGATAAGCAAATTCAGCTACATGAATAGCGTAGCTGAATTAGACGTATCTGATCCAACTTACCCCGCTGTGAGGACTGCGGCAAATCAACCGCCGCGGCTCCCCCGTCGACGGCGCTTACTCCTACTTGGGCTGGTGGAGTACGCGCGTCAATTCGGGGATCGATTATCGTGTCCCCATGAGACGCGATAAATCGATCCCCGAGAGATCGATTTTCTACCGCCGATCCGGGCGGGTAGTGAAGACCAGCCCTAAGTGTTGGACCACACTGCTGTTTCTTCTGGTAGCAATGGGAAAGCACTATGACAGGAGCAGTTGCCAAAATGGGCTTCTACCAGCTGGTATTTAAATAATGTAAGGTTCTCAAGGAAAATCTGAGATTCTTATAATCTTACGTGGGCTTTAGGTCTATGATTTAGGATAAAATTCCATTAAATCCTGATTTTCTTTGAAATATGATGGTGAGGTGAGGTCTATGAGCTCAGTGATTCAAAATTCTCTCATCCCAATTGCTCATTAATGCTTGTCAGTGTTCCAGGATGAAATTTTTTATTGACTTGGCCTCAGTTGTAAATTGAGATGTTTTGACATTTGTATCCTTTTATATCAACTCAGTCTCGAAGGACGGTGTAAGAATTATGGAAAACTTAAGGTTGACCTTGGTGAAATAGGAGGAATGAACAACTCCCCAGTTTGTTCTTGCTTTGATCTGTGACTCATGACAGGCAAATACTATCAGTGCCTGAAAGTCAGAATAATGAGACCATGAGGTGAGGGGCAGCACACCAGAACTGTTGTGAAAAACTGAACAACAAAAACTTCACATTTAACACGCTACATTTATTGAACTGTAATAAAAAAGTGAGACAAAATTAAAATTGAGTCAATCTGATACATACAGTTTCTTTTAACGAGCCTGTTGAATTGCTTTGAGCCATGCAAGGGTCATTTTTGCAGTGAACAAACATTTCTAAGCATCATAAGGGCTTTGCATAATTTTTTCATATGTGATCTGTGCATACATATGAGTAAAAGCAGTTTACAAAAATTCAAGCTCCCTCTTTTTTTTTACCCCCATATTCTCTAACAGAGTGTCTCCTCCTTTGCCTCTTTCTGTTCTCAGCCTTAATCTGCTTTCAATAGCTTATCACTGCCTTCTCTTGGAATCTCTTTTCTCCTAATACTTTCAGTACTACCGTTCTCTTCCTTCAGCAGTTCCTGTTTCCTTCTCCTGCTCTGTTAATGTCCCCAGGGTTCTGTCTTTGGTCCTACCCTCCTTGTCATGTAAAGTGCACATTAACCCTCAATGCTGCCAGCTTCTGAATCTACCATTCCCTGTCTGTAGAGTGTTGTATCTTTGGTCTCTCTCTTCTTGGATATCCAAATGCCAGTTCAAATTCCCACAACCCCTCTCTCTCCATCCTCTATTTTTCTTCTCAAATCTTTCTCACTCTGATAATTCGAGTATTTTCTCTATTATTACCCAGAGTCTCAACTATGGCTTATATTTGACTCCTCTCATTTTCTCCTTCCCCCCACATCCAGGATGTCACAAAATCCTGCCTTTCTTAATATACAACATTTCTATGAGCTGGTCTCCTTTCTTTGTTTCTACTTCTACATTTTTTTGCCCATAACTTGATAACTTTTTTCTTCACTCCTATATCCCCCTTTCTGCCTGTTGCCTTGCTCCCCTATAGGACATCCAAAATGTTGCTGCTCAGCATCTTCTCCCACCTCCGCTCCAAGCATGTCATTATCCTTCCTCCTGTTCCAATCCTTCGCTGGCTTCTCATCTTCTACATCAAGTTTAGACTTCTTGTCCTGGCATTTAAAGCCCTTCAGTTTCACTTCTGTGAATTTTCTCTTTTCTCTCTGCTCTTCCTCAAGATTGGCTAAAACTGCCCTCATTGTGTCATCCTTCTGCTTTTGATTTAATCCATCCATGTTGCCGCCTGTGCTTGGAACAGTCTCCCAATCTCTTCTTTCAGTCCCACCTTTCCAGTACACTTCTGTGAAGCCTTTTAGTTGCTTTATAAAATTAAAAATCTGCATTGCCTCAAGAATGAATCTTCATCTAGTGTATTATGTAGCTGAACTATTTCTGTCTAGCTTAGACCAGAAACTGCCTGAAGGGAAAAGTGGTCCTCATGCATGGTATAGTGCTGAGCACACTGATATTCGGTAAATATTACTTAGTAAAGCTGAGTGGAAAGCAGAAACTAAAATAAAATAACCCCAGAAAATTAAAAATAAGTGACTAGGGAAATGTTCTTTATTAGTGTGGGTAGCACTTTACTATATGAGTATTTGTTTTCTTTCAGATCTTCTTGAGTTTTACAGTTTTTCTCTTAAAAGTCTTGATGATCTATAGGATTTACTGTGTTGTTACAGAACTAGCAGCTTGCTGAAAACACCATGTCACTCTTTTTGTTTGTATAGTACATTCTGGCCCCAGATCCCATCATAGTTATTTTTGAAGGAAAGCTAATGATCAAAGAGAAGTCATGATTTTGAATATACTGATATTATTTGGTTAAATTTAAACATGCTTTACATGCAGAATTTTTCACAAAAATAACCCACAATGACTTTTTGGTTTTCATTATTTCTTATGTGAATTGAAATGTTGCCTATTGCATTTATCACTTCTCCAAAAATATGTCTATACATGTATGTACCTACAGTGCAGGTTTACCTGTTACCAATTTGTTGCCACATTTAGTAAAGTTTGAACTTGGTAATCAAAGAGACCTGAGGATCAGTCAGCTTGATTGGATTTTTTAGATAATTAGTTAGCACATAACAGAGTAAGTTACCACAGTCTGTGAGAACCAATCCAATGACAGGTAGCTTGCGCTCTTTGTCTGCTTCTAAATTTGGATGAGGGCTTAGCATGCTTATAGAGGAGCTGGGTAGAGTTTCATTTTCAGTATTTCCATATTTTTATTTTATAGACAGACATTTTCAGCACATTTTCCAATCAGATATGTTATTTAAACTTGCATCTTTTTGGTCAATCCATCAAATTTTGCTAATGTAAGCACCTGTACTTCTTTTTTTAGTACAGTATGTTGCTAAAAGTACTTATTCCTTCTAAGAGGCTAACATTGTCTCGTCTTAGCATGTCTCCCAAGGCATCATGGGGAGATGTAGCTCAGAGGCAAAATATAGGCCTTATAAAGTCTCTGGTTCAGAGGTCAACAAAACTACAGTAGTGGTATGATTATAGGTGTTATAATCTAATACCCAGTTTAGCATGGTGGCCTACTACTAAAGTGTATCCTGTCCATGTCTGTGGATCAGAATTCGCTTATGCCAGAGTTATCATACATGTCTATGCCTTATCACTACAGATTGAAGAAAGAATAAGTTGATGGAAAAGGTGGGTAATACCTTATTTTGTCTTTTCCCAGTTTGAGTATTGGTCTGGATGACATCTCAGCTTAGGTGCTGATTGTGTGTGTGTGGTGAGGACATTCTGATTGGAAGACCAGTGGTATATCTAGTTCAATAGAGATAAAAATCTCTCTTGTCTGGCACTCTCTGGTGTGGCAACATCCGTGGTCCGGCATGATTTTATTTTATGTTTTTTATGCTTTATTCACTTATTTCCTTGTGCCAATACAGTAAAATTGTGTAACACTAACACTTTGTTATGAAGAGAGCCAGTAAGCCTTGGCTAGGCGGCATTGCAAGCGTTGTTCCTTTTATTCGCCTCGGCAAGATAAAAATGAAGAGATCAGCTCACTAGAATATTGACATCCTGTGGGTCGGCAAATTCTCTGGTTTGGCACCGGTCAGGTCCCAGGTGTGCCGGACTAGAGAGGTTCAACCTGTAGTGATGTTCTTGGGGGGGGGGGTGAATTTAAAAAGGTGGTATATGTAGCGCCCCTCCCATGAAGTATCAGACCTTTCATTGCCTTGGGTCTTATTTTTATAAGATCTCTGCTTGGGGCCCCACAAGAAAGCCAACCTACAGTCTTGTGGGATTGAGGAGGCTTAGTTAATAAGGAATGAATGCCTTTTGGTCCCAAAAATGTTAGCAGTTGTATGTGTTTCTGAATGCATGTGAGTCTGCGTGCAAGAGAGTAAGACAGTAAGATCAAGTGGGGTCAAGTATTTTGAGATTTTATTGGCATCTGTTAGACAAAGGGGCTTATGTGTTTGGGAGCCAAGGAGTGGAAATGTTGTAGCTGGTTGTTTCCAGAAGTGCCTGTAATGGGCTTTTGTGTGTGATTAGATTCATTTCTTATTGGCAGGATAAGAATTGATCATACATAGAAACTGGACTGCTCTCCAACCCCAAGAAGTTGTTCGTCACCTCAGAGTTGTGTACATTTGTAGAGAGAATTTCATTCCCTGGGCTGTTAACCTGGCACCTTTCAAAAGAACATTTTTAAAAGTCATATGTGATTATTGCATTAGAAATTACAGATTCAATGTGCATATTTGTGGTACACCATGTATAATTTGATGGAAATACTGTGCTTGCATTACAGGTGCTGCACCCAGCAGTGGAGACGCTAGATCTTAGAGATTGTGATATTTCAGATACTGCCCTGCTGCAACTTTGTAATTGCAAGCAACTGAAAAAAATTAACTTAAATTCCTGTAAAGAAAACAGACTAGCCATCACTTCAGAAGGTATGTTTCCTGTATGGATACAATTTGAATCTACCTCTGTTTTCTTTCTTTTCGTTGGGAGAGTTGGAGTAAATTGTGAAAGCAATAGAGTAAATATTATATTAAATACACATGTTGGCAAAGTCATTTTAATCAATTACACACACACACTACATTCTTCAGGAATTTCCTGTTGCTTGGTTAATGTAAATCTTAGTAGAGCTAGTCAAAACATTTTTAGCAGACTGTTTCGATCAGAAATTGCAGTTTTGTCAAAATCCAAATATTTTGCGGGAAAGTGTCAATTTTAACAAACTTTTCCAGAGCATTGAACTGTTTTGACTCATTTTATATTGATAACATCAAAATGTTTAATTTTGACTTTTTTTGTTTTATTTAAACTTTTATTTTATCATATTTATATTGGTTTGACATTATCAAAACAATTCAGTTTTTCCTACCAAAAAAAAAATTGTTTTTTTGCTGTAAATTTCAACCATTTATTATAATTTGAAATGAAAACATATTTTGAAATGTCAGAATTTCCTGCAGAATTGAATTTCTGTTTTCTGACCAGCTCTAATATTTTAAAAAATGTATGAAGTGGTAAGGTGAAATTCTGGTTCCACCGAAGTCCATGGCAAAACCCCCATTGTCTTCAATGGAGTCAGGATTTCACCTGTATATTGTGTTAATAAAAACAGAATTTGAAGATAGATAAGAAATTATAGAAAGTAGAACAAAGATAGTTATATGATATGCTGACTGATGTTTTAAAGGCATTAATTTAACATACCTGGTTAAAATTTATCAAGAAATTGTACTTCAAATTGCAGTATACCAAAGTCATCCCAAATCATAGAGCGTATACAGTCATGGCTAACTTTTTCCTTTGATACAGCAGATACTTTATTTTGCCTATAGTCTCCCTCTGGTTCATATGACAGACAGTCCAGAAATCACAGCTGCCTGTTTTTCAGTTGATTTAGAAAATATGGTTGCCCCAAGTTGCTGCCAGATATGATTATTAGCAGTTTATTTTACTGCTTGTTTTCCTGGATTTCAGCTACAGAAGAATCTGGCATCCACCACATGGTTTTGTTTTGATAAGAGACTTTTATCAGAGGATGTGTTCCTGACCAGGTTGTTCTTCCCCTTTAAGATTCTTTGCTGTCCGAAAGCCCAGTATAAACTGTATAACATTTTAACATTTTGTTTAAGTTTAAAATATAGTATTAGGGTTTAAGTATTAAGTTTAAAATGTAGCCCTGAAATTGCTTCTGCATAATGGGTCCCTGTGCCTGTGTGGGCCCCAGCATCTATTGTGGTTAAGCCCTACCAAATAACATCACAATTTTGTACTTTGGTTGATGTATTGCAGGGTGACCCTGTAACAATTGAGGAATAAGTGATGTTTTCTTGAGTTTGAATTCATTCAGTAATTAGAGAGACCTCATATAACTCAACTAGATTGAGTTTATTAACAATTGTTAGTCATCGCATAGCAGAAAGGTATCCCTTATCAAAATCTGGAAGACCAATCCTTGTAGCCTACGACAGTCTGATTTTTTTGATACTGTCTGGTTCCATTATGTGCGTACAGCTTTGCATACTTGATAGTCTGCTCTTCAGCCTAGCAGAGAAAGGTATAACACGATTAAATGGCTGGAAGCCAAAGCTAGACACATTCAGTCTGGAAATAAGGTGTACATTTTTAACAGTGAGGATACTTAATCATTGCAACAATTTACCAAGGGTCGTGGTGGATTCTCCATCACTGGCAGTTTTTAAATCCAATACTGAATGTTTTCTAAAAGATCTGTTCTAGGGGGTTATTTTGAGGAAGGACTATGGCTAGTGTTACACAGGTCAGACTACATGTTCACAGTGGGCCCTTCTGGCTTTGGAATCTATGAATGCTATTTCTACCTTAGCTGTTTATATTCTTACTATTCCCACTTTTCAACATATACTTTTCATTATATTTAGTAAATATACTGTTTACTTATGTCCTTTTGGTGGTCACATTACATTTTGCTAACTCAAACATTGGTTAGTTGTGGTTTGTACAATTTTTATAAAATTGATTACTAAAAATATTCTATTCTGCACATAACAATTCTTACAAAAATATTGTAAAGGCATAGGCAACACATTGAGGGGCGGGCATGTGGAGATGCTGGGGCGGGGGGGGGGGGCTGGGAAGCCCAGAGGAGGAAATGGAGGCCTGGGGCAGTTGGAGGTGGGGTAGGGAGCCCAGGGGAGGAGGCAGCAGGGGCCAAGGATGATGGCCGGGGAAGCAGCAGGGGCGAGGTGGGAATACAAGTACAGTTCCCCTGAAACTTTACAATGATATTTTATTTCATTTTTTCTAAAGTGCCTACAGTGTTCTTAAGTCCAAGCACTCGAGCTGTTGCTTGAACATAGGAGCTGACTCCGTGGGTGCTCTGGGGCTGGAGCACCCAGGGGAAAAATTAGTGGGTGCTCTGAACCCACCGGCAGCCAAGCCACATACTGCCCCTCCTACAACTCTGCCGTCTCCTTCCTTGGGCCGCTTCCCCACAGCCCCAGCATCTCCTCTGCCCTGAAGAAGTGGGTTTTTTACCCATGAAAGCTTATGCCCAAATAAATCTGTTAGTCTTTAAGGTGCCACCAGACTCCTCGTTGTTTTTGTGGATACAGACTAACATGGCTACCCCCTGATACTTGGTCCTCTGCCCTTGTATCAGGACCCCAGTTTGGCAGCTGTCAGCCTGGAGCTTTCTCATACTCTGCTGATCCTGCCCAACACTGCTCTGTCCATGATGCTCCAGTCCTCTAAGCAGCCAATCCGCTTCCCCGAACTCCAGGGAGTGACTGTCTCTGCTCTGCTCAGCAGCCCCTTCTTATATGAGCCTGGCCCTGACTGGCTCTTCCAATAAACCTTCCCCTAATTGGTTGGCACGACAAGCCTTTTCCTTATCTGCTGCCTCCCGTGGAGCCTCCCCATGGTTGCTTTAACCCCTTACTTACTAGTGAGGGGCAAACGCCCCATCACAGTCTAGATTCCACATACATTCCTACTGTTTCAATATTAAGAGCAATGTTAGCCTTAACAAAATGAAAACCTATATAAAGAGCAGATATTAACAATATACAATTTAAAAACAAACAAAAAACCTGAACCAAATGGACTATAGATGGGGGGAAATGTATGTGAAGTTGGAAATGGGCATAGGGTGGTCAAAACTGGATTGTTGATTTTTTTAAAAATTATAAAGAATCTGGAGTTCCTGGGCAATGGATCCTGCTTTTTCGCGAGACCCCGGAAATTTAGTCCAGACTATGGTAGATTTTTGCATATATTTCATTCCCCCAAGCACACACTCTATTGCCACATTATTCCAAATTGCGAGAGGTGGAAAATGAAAGAGTTGCATGTTTCCAATTAAAGGTAAATTTTCCACACTCAGATGTCCAACGAGAGTCAAGGCAGGGACTAAGCAAAGAAGCAGAGGGCAATATTTTAAAAAAGAAAAAGAAAAAGCTTTAGGACTTTTATATCGATTATCTTCATAAGTGTTTTGAACTGTTGGGAAAAAAAGCATGGAAGCTGGGGGTTCAACCACCACAGTTGAGACAACAAGTCATCGTGACCACAGCAGTTAGGAGACAAGACTGGATTAACTGCATGAAGTCAATTCGGGGAAGACTGATATCCAGTACAAGGTTTTAATCGGGCTATCAGTAATAGAATTAGAAATAGAGCATGTCTTCCTAAATATTTTAAAAGAAATTGTATCTGTTTCAGTGACTATAATTGTGAGCTTTCAGATATAATACATGTATAATTGATTTATAGTACTAGTACTCTTCTGCCTTCACTTTCCCCAACATGTTCTGCTGTCAAGTGGCAATGGAATGGCCTTCTGCTCAAAGAAGCAGCCTCCTTAAATAAAGTCTCTTCACTTCAAACAAACCAAGAAATTGGTTATCTACAGCCAGGCACTCGGGTACCATGGAATATGATCCGAGGAGAAAGTCCAGGATACACACCTAAACGCACTTAAAAACTGCCTTCACCAAACAAGGACGCTCCACCAGAGAGGTAGATCACATCATGGAATGGGTCACCCAAATACCCCAAGAGAATCTGCTTCAGTACAGAAATAAATCCTCCTTCAACCGCACACCCCTAGTTGTCATCTACCACCCAGCACTGGAACCCAGACAAGGCATCATTAAAAAATTACAGCCCATACTCGATGGGGACCACAACCTGAAAGAAATCTTTCTTGAACCCCTTCTTCTGGCCTTCAGAAAACACCCTAGCTTACTACTCCATGCTCATTAGCAGAAGCAAGCTACCCACAAATGAGGATGCACCAATCAAAGCAGCACCAGACCTTGCCAGAATAACAGATACAAAACCAGTGTAGACAAATCTCCACTGCTAAGATGATCAACCCCCCCTCCCACACCCAACACACTGTGCAAGATCCATGGGTCTTACATATGCCTGTCACAACATGTAGTGTTCCTCATTCAGTGCACTAAATACTCCAGTAATAACTGTGGGTGAAACAAGACAATCAGTACATTCTTGAATGAACTCACGTAGGAAAATGATAAAGACAAAAACACCATCCTTCCTCTAGATGAACACTTTTCACTGTATATCCAACTGTAGAGAGGTTAGCTGGGACTTGTCTCCCTCCGGGGCAGCAGGGAACCACACCGTCTCACTAAATTGGGGAATAGATCTTGCGGGGAATTAGTCCAACCACAGAAGTCGTCCTTTGCGAAGAAAGAAATAACACAGGAAGCCCAGGCCCTAGGGCAGGGCAATGGTGAGTCAGGTGCGCAGGCCCTCAGGCAGGGGCTGAGCAGTAACTGGATATAATAGCAAGTCCAGGCCCTAGGTTCCAAAAGGTCTGGGAGAGGGGGAGACTTTCACCCACGAGTTGGGTGGCAGGGGGGACGCAGGCCCTCCCACTCCACTGCGTCCCAGCCCGGGGCCCTAGCAGTGGCAGAAGACCCGT